TTTTTTTTTAATGTTGGAAGCAATTTTGATAGGTAATCTTTTTCTTCAGGAAAATTATGCTCATCTGAACTGTTACGTAGGCAGGTAAAAAAGGATATGAGTGGTGATAGCCTTGGTGTTCATTTAGACATGTTTTGTCTGAGTTAATAATTTTAAGCACAGATATTATTTTTACTTTCTTGTATCTGCTGGTTTTTGATTATAATATTAAAATAATCAGTTTCCAAAATCTCATTATCACTCTTGTTTGAATAGTACAGTAAATTTAGTCTACTTTTAGTCCCACCTAATCTGAGACTAGTCACCTGCATACTGAAATGTTTGCATATGTATGTCCTCCCACTTTGCAAACATGCACACATATAAATATACATCCATGTATTTATGTTTTCGTGATAACTATATTTTCATCTCACTTTCTGTTTGTTCCTTCTTGCTCTCTGCCTGGTACCTTTTTATTAAACTGAAAAGCAAAACACCCACCTCCACCCACTAAACCCCTTTCATCCTCTCTCCTTATTTCTTCACCATCTTCATCTCTGGTAACCTCATTTTGGTTTTCAGTGACCACTAGTTATTTTTATATTGTTTAGCCATTTATCCACTTAGTTTCCTTATATTACTCATCTGGTGAAGTCATATAATATTTGCTTTCACTTCCAAATTTCACTTTGCATCATTTACTAGAATTGTCTGAACTTATCCACTAAATATATATATAACTCATTGCCATCCCAGTAAAGTTAAATATTTCCACAATTTTAATGCTGATTTGTTTATTTTTTGACTCTCCATTAAAGCCTCAAAATACAATTTGTAAATATTACTCTGAATTTTTTTTTGGAGAGAATACAAACGAGCTCAATTTTAGTTTATTTAGAATATTGTGATTCAAAATAATTATAATAAATAGCAGTTCTGTATCTGATTATTAAAATTCTTCTTTTTATTTATTTTTTTCTTCAAAGATTTATTTGTGCATACAGAACTGGGGTACAGGCCAGAGGTGTGGGTGTGCAGTGAGGATTCAGCAGAGACAGAGTGGGAAACAGAATAGGAAGATGGTGCAAGTTCACTGCTGAAGGGAGCAGCGGGCGGGCCATGTGGGTCACCTCCTGGGCGCGGATCGAACTCATGCTGAAGTGGCTTAGCTTCTTAGTGCTGTGCTTTAACCCACGGCACCACCAGGGAGGGCCCTAAAAATTCTTCTTTTTAATGTTAAATTACTTGGTTTGGTTTTTAATCCCAATATTCAGAGCATTAGAATAAAGACTATACTAGAATATTACTTTTTTTCTTTTAGGAGATACTGAAGATGATGATCAAAATAGCTCTGATAGTGATGTCTCTACCACTAATGCCAGATCCAGGGACTCTATGGAGTCTGGAGGTAACATTACTTTACAGAAATAACATTGCTTTTTGCCTTAGGAGCTGTTCTTTTAGTTAAAGTATAATGTTATTCTATAATTGAATTTAAAAATACAGCATTTTATTAAAACTGCTTTTTAAAAAGTTGTGTACTTTTTAACATTTATTAATATTAAAGAGTCCATATGTATAACTGATTATCTTAAAGTTATGTAATATCTAAACAAATCACTTTTTAGCCTGCTTTGATATTTATGGAAAACAAGATTTTTTGTGACTAACAGAAGAGTTGTTTGTCATTTGTTAAAATAGATCACATTGACATTGGTACTCATAATACTATCAGGAGTATTAGCTTTTATAAAAAGATTTGTTTTTTATTGTTTTATTTTATTTATATATACAAGACTGGGGCATAGCTACTACGCTGGAGGTGGGGGTGTGGGGTGAGAAATTCACCAGAGACAGAGTGGAGAACAGAACAGGCCGACCTACTGAAATGAACTAAGGGGAGCAGCAGGCCAGACAGGAGAGGTCTGCTGCACCTTATGTGGGTCAGCTCCCTGGCCAAGGATTGAACTCAGGCTAAACTGCTGGCAATAGC